TGGTCTTAACCCAAGTTTGTACAAAAGCATTGTGTTGTCTTTGTCAAGTGAACATAATAAATAGACACAAATGTTCCCATGGCTCTTTCTCTCCAATTACACCCGCTCTGTCTCTTTCTACCCTTTTCTCTATTTAGCCTGCCCCCTCCATCCTCAGGTCACATTACTGACAATGCCGTGTTTGTTCACTTCTGGGAATTTTAGGATTATGTTATTAAATGTAAATATCAGCATATCCACTCTCTCTCTGTTCGTGTGAGGGAAGGTTTGAGACTCTCACCACACAAAACTGTAAAGTGTGACTGAAGATGGCCTCAAAAACAAACAAACAAACAAAAAGAAGCACATCTAAACCAATCCCATTAATTAAAGGAACAAAATAAACCAGCTAACCTGTTTTTAGTGAGGAAAAGGTGTCTAGACTTTCTGATATTGTGTTTTGCGCACTGGTCCATGCATAGACTCAAGGACATGTGGTCTTAATTAGAAGCTCCAAATTGATGTAAGATGGAGGCAATAAAAAACACATTCTTCCAACATTTATTTATTTATCCCCCCCTTCTGTTTTCAGTTTTAAAATGAGAATGGGAGGAGATTAGGGGGTTCCTGTGGCCCTCCCCAACCCACTTGATGAATGAGTAAGAGAGGCGATAGAGACAGTTCACCTTCTTTGTGTTTTATTTCAAGGAGACTTTTGATGAATTTTGTCAACTACAGCTAACCAGATTAAATGACAGCCTGGGTATCAGAGTTAGCCTTTACCCTTTCCAGGGCTCTTGGTCCACCGTTCCTGCATTATGATTACAGCTTGCTGATGATGAAGCTGTTGGGGGAAGCTTCCTGGGCTCATGGCAGACGTGTAAGACGAGCTCTTCGCTGTCACTCCATCATTGTTTGACAGAAGCGTGACTGGAGCGTGGCAAGCACAGAAAACACACTCACAAAACTCAACAGCCACCTTGAGCGCTCCAGCCCACTGGAAAAGTACCAGTCCCTTTTATTTTATTTTTTATTTTATTATTTATTTTTTTTATTTTATTTTATTATTTATTAATAAACATTTACATTTTCATATTAATTACATTTTCCCAATGATGATACACTACATGGACAAAAGTATGAGGACACATCCTTCTAATTAATGGGTTTGGCAAGGCCGTTAATTCCAGTGAAGACAAATCATAATGCTACTCCATGACATCATAGAAAGCTTTCCTGAGTTCTTTAGATGCCAAAAACCTTAAATATGTTGATCCCCGTGTGAAGGGAACATATTCTTAAAATAAAGAAGATATATGTTTTCTCTGATTAAACAAAAAAGTTAATATAAAATTGTTTACACTTTGTGAGAAAAATGATAAGTGTGATATTATGTGTTGTGCGTAATTGTGAGTTGATGTGACATCTACATTAACGTAACAAAAAAATAAAAAACTGTTCTAGTGAATTTTTGAACCAACTTTGTGGCAGCAGGGAGGGTCTTTTTTTTTCCAGTGTGACAATGTCTCTGTGCTGGGTCCTCAGAGAAAAGTTTTACTGAATCTGGTCTGAGAGAACTTGACTGGCTGCACACAGCCTAGACCTGAACCCCATTCACACTTTGAGATGAATGAGAACAACGACTGTCAGCCAGACCTCATCACCCAACATCAGTGCCTGAGTAGATCCCCATAGCTATTCTCCAACATCTACTAGAAAGCCTTCCCAGCAGAGTGGAAGCTGACCAACCCTCTATTAAACCAAGTGATTTGAAATCAAATACTCAACAAGCACATAGGGGGTGTTGTTTGGGTGTTCACATGCTTTTGACCATATAGTGTATAAAAGGAGCTCTAATCCCATTGCCATTGATTAGATTGATCAATTAAGTAGGAGGCAGTGGTCCTCCAAAGGGCAGCATCTTTTTCAACCACAAACCCAAAACCTCATTATGTTTAATGCTTCAGTTAGGAACTACTGAAATGAAGATGGGCACACTTTTTGTTTTGCCCAGCTGTATTTACTTAGTGCAACTTATAACATCCAAGTGGAATATATAACACCTACATATCAGGAAAAAAAATAATAAAAAAAAATAAAATCACTGAGTTAGAAGAAGGATCACCCCCTTGTGTCAGTATTTTGTTGAACCACCGTTTGCTTTAATTACAGCCTTTAGTCTGTTGGAATATGTCTCTGTCTCTACTAACTTTGAATATCTCGACTTTGCAGTATTTGCCCACTCTTCTTTGAAGAACTGCTCAAGTTCAGTTCAATTTGATGGTGAGCGTTTGTGGACTGCAGTCTTCAAGTCATTCCACAGATTTTCAGTGAGGTTTAAGTCTGGGTTCTGACTAGGCCATGCAAGGACATTCACCTTTTTCTCCTTCAACCACTGTGGTCAGTTTTGCTGTGTGCTTTTGGTCATTGTCATGTTAGAAGATAAATCTTCTTCCCATTGACAACTTTCTGACAGAGGGCAGCAGATTTTCCTCAAGAATTTGATGGCATTTTGCCCCATCCATTTTTCCTTCTATTCTGACAAGTGCTCCAGTCCCTGCTGCAGAGAAACACCCC